ACAGAAGAGGAATCAAGAATCCAGAAGATACCGATTGACATTGCATTTAAAAGTTGGCCGGAAGTAAAAAGCCAGAAGAGATTTCCATAATCAGAAAGTGCGAGAGAAGAAACTGTTAGCATAGAACTTACGGTTACATCTAGCCATTTTTATCGGATTATCTTTTTTTTCTTAAATAGCTTAACAAATAAATATTTAATTAATGTGATATGAAGATCTCAGCGTTAAATTTATTAAAAATTTCTAATTCTTTCATCAGAAACGGCGCTATACATTCATTTCGTATTTAGTTTATTTAAAATCTAATTTATCCACGCCGTCACAACTGAGAGCAATGTTAAAGTAATTATGTCGTTGCATTGTATATATAAAATATCATCAACTTAATGTTGCTTTGTATTTTTATTTTTATTTTCAACTAGTAAAGTACCCATCAAAACGGAGAGGATTATTAATGTGTCAGAAAAGAAACAGGAATGAAGTTACAAAAAATATCAAAATCCAGACTTTCCCCCTTCGAAATTATCCCTGCTCGAGTCTAACGCACTTTCCAACTTTCTCCTCCACGGTTCCATGGTCTTCTGGAAGGATTCTCCGCAGATACATTGTCGCGACCCTCTTGATGGTTCCCATTTCCGGAAAAAGGGTCCCCTAGATGGACATCACCCTGCTGGAACAACCTCACAACTCACCTAACCCGGCCTTTTCCCCAAACTCAAGGGAGTCATCAAGGGGATCCGTTTTCTGTACGTAGGAGCCATCAAGAGGGCCGTGACGACGGAGTTGCGGAGAATGCTGGGTGAATCCTTCCAGGAGCGCATTGAGGTGAGGCGGAGAAAAATGAGATAATGTTTTAAACTCGAGGTTTGGGTGGGAATAATTTCGAAGGGGATAACTAATAGCTTGGATTTGGGGATTTTCGTTCTGTTTCTTTCTTGATACACCTCGTATGAATGCAAACCTTTGACAAGATCAGAGTAGATATTCACTCAAGACAACTATATTGTTGCAAGTTATTTTACAATCCGAAACGATTCTTCTTACTGTCACAAATAAATCTATCCAAAGATAGCGACTTCACTTCAATTCTTCATTTTCTCTCTTCTCAATCCATGGAAATTTAGGTTGATTTCATGATTTACAGGAATGAGCGCGCATAAAGCACTTGTTAACAAATTGATTGGTGATTTTTATTTTTTAAACTGAAGTTACAAAACAGGTAAAACTGTTTTCTGGTTATGATGTTGTTATTTGTCTACCCAACAGAAAGCAAGTAGTCACAAAGCAAAATAGATGAAAAGCAATTTATTACTGATCTCAATGAAATAGGAGAGATCAGGAACGTAACCGATAAATACACATTATGTTCTAGATACTTGCTTAAATTTGTCATAAAATTTTAAAAATTTCAGTAGCTTCTTTCAACTTTTATTTAAAATTCTCCGTCTCTTTATTTTCCATTTATTTATTAAAGTTTTTCCTTTTAAAAATGTTCACCAAATACACGGCGCAAGAGCCACTCAAAGTAGAAAGTTAGTGTAAGGTTAAAAGGAGGATTGTTTGATTGATCCGTTTACTACAGTTATGCAGGTTATTTAAAACTAGAAATTATTTTTAGATTGTAAGGAATTGGTTGGGAGAGAGTAATAATAATTTAATGATACAAGACTTCCTACTTAACCCATAGGTGGGGGAGAAAAGATGATTTCATACCTTTTCCATAAGAGAATATAACGCGTAAGTAAATATAACGAACTCAACTGGAATTGGAACTCTGCTCTTTGATTAACAATTCCGAGCCATTATCCATTATACCACCCGAACATTGAAGCCTACAGCACCTGATATTCCCAAGCGGTCAACTATTTCGCTACTGACCAGAATCGAAGTTGCTTAACTCTGGTGATCGTACGGAAACCTGTGTTTCAATGTGATAAACGCTTAACAGGGAAAAGTTAAGAAGTGTAGTTTATGAGGCTAACCGAAGAGCTGAAGTGGTTAGGGTGTCAGAAGTCTATTTCCCAAAGTAGCAGTTCTTGGGAAGAAGATGTCCCAATGGAACTTCTTTCTTACTAATGGAATATAAAGAAAATGTGGATGATTCACCCCAATATACGCGACATGGCAATTTATTAGCAGCGAAGGTAAGGATTGGTGGAACTAAAGAATGTTGATCGCGGAATCGGTTTTGAAGTTTTCATTGAATAACAATATGAAATTAAAAACAACTAAGGTCAGGATACTTATGTCTAGTCTCCAGAAGTAAAGATGTCGAATTCTACTTTTCATAGAAAGCTCAAAAGTAGAGCTTTCATCCATTGTAATATTGACGCAACACAATCTTATCATTCTTATTTCTCTCGATTTAATTTTATGTTCATTATTTACATTGTCCTCATCTTTGTCGCCATATTTATTACAACTTTTCGGCCGTTGTACGCTCCGCCTTCTTCAGGTGGTTGGAATGTCGAACTGAAATCTTTATTTCGTTCGCTGGGGTAGACTGTTCTAGTTCCACGTGCCATGTCTAATGGATGTCAGTTATCAGTTATCTCCTGTTAATTCACTTCTCCAAGTTCTCCACTGCCTTAACCAGGTATTGAACTCAGTCTTTGGGTCCTGTCACTAGATCTAACTAATGCCATGTGTTCTTGACGACATCCGTGTATGAAATTCTGGGACTTATAAACCTAATGTCTTCAGCAATCATTTTTACCAGTGCTCATATTGCAATTTTTGCTGTTATCATTGCGTTTTTTTTTTTTTTTTTTTTTTTTACCAAAGCTCACATTGCAATTTTTGTTATCATTGCTTCTGTCTGGCACTCCTTATTACTGGTTCCCATATTGTATTCATTTCTATGCTTGGTCGGCTCAGGAGATTTTTATGGCCAGGCATGTATGCTGATTCCTTTAGTTTACGAATTTTCCAATGATGTTCTTTGTCTATGATTTCAACCTGATCCCACAGAGGGCGGTGATACCCTTTTTGTCTCCATATGTAGTCATCCTCGCTTGATTTTTCCACTTCCCCTCATGTTACTGCTTTTTGGTATTCTTGAAGCCTTACCTTAAGAGGGCGGCCTGTCTTCCCCTTGTATTTCTTTCAGCAACTGCACGGGATAGCTAAATTTCACCTAATACAAGGCTCAAGAGCCAATCAATGTAGAAGGATACAGTAAAAATAGTAAGGAAGACTGGACGAAAAGGTGGTAGGATTATGAGGATGGCGAAGAAAGATTGACCCTTGACTTGAAGCGGTCACGATTAAAGTGCTAAAAAAGTTCAGTGGGCTTTTTTCTTACATATGGAATATGGAGGAAATGCGGATGATTCAACTCTGTGGAAGTAGCATGGCGTATCGTAGATATAAGTGTCTGAACTGATGGAATTAAAGAATGGAACTTACCCGAACCTTTGCCACTGAAATAGCGATAGAACAGCGATGGGCTTGCAACGTTACATCTGTGAGAAAGAGGCTGTAGGAGGTGGGGGAATGAATCACCACCTCCCCACAAGAGTGCATAAACGATTTTCAACTCTATCAAAGCTGGGGGTCGGGGGTGAAGATATTGAGCACTTCCAGCCCAGACATATTCCATTTTTGGTTTTACCCGATTCTTGTAAAGCTACAAAAAAAGCAGATGTCAGATAATGACTGCAGCGATAGAACGAATCGACTGTCTTCCCAGTATCTTTATCAATGGATTGTAGAAAAGTTCCACTTAAGGTAAGGCGTGAATATGAAACCTTGTAGACATTAAAATCACAGAACCTCATTGTGAATGGACTAAATCCATGAAGAATCCAAAATCCAGTCTAGCCATAAAGTCCATCCAACATAGATTTGTTGAACAAATTAGCAATTTCTCATCACTCAATAACGTTACGGGTGTGCGGATGGTGTAATGGATATTGGCTCGGAATGAGAGATAGGAGAACCGAGTGCGAATTTCAGTCGAGTTCGTTGAATTCACTTATGCACTTTGGGAAAGGTATAAATCCATCTCCTCTCTAGCCATGGGTTAAATAGTGGGGGTTGTATCTGGAGAAATCATTGTTATTCTCAAATTATTAATACAATATTCACTCACAAAAAAATATTTTTCGGCTCTGAATAGCCCACAAGAAGTTGATAAGTCGTAAAAAATAAATCCATTAAATCAATTTTTAATGGATTTATTTTTTTAATCTGACAGGGATGTCAAGTTAAACAAGCGTACCCACTAAAATAACGTTTAGAGCAATAAGAAATACTTGAAAGTACAATAAAACATATCAAAATATATTTATTTACAATATAAAGAACAAGAATTAAGTTGGATAATAACGTCTCACACGATCAAAGTTATTGCAATCATTTACAATAAAAACATAGGTTATCAGCTGGAATTCATATGGTAAATCTATCATATAAATATACTCTGAAAACATTTCCAACATCAGCTGGTGAATACTGAGTTTATTTGGAAACATCGTCTTGCCTAATAAAATCTAATATTGTGCCTATTTATCGGATGGGACGTCCAATCTGATCAAATCCTACATCTTTCTCTCGTCTTTTGAGGATTGCTGTGGTCACGGGGAAAATACCTTCGAAAGTCGGGCAGGTCATAAGCAAGACATTGACATTTTCACTAGTTTTATAACCTCGGTATTTACCTAGCGACCCACGCCTATTCTTCTCTCTAACTTCACTATCCGCCTTCGTACGCCTCACACATTTAATCTTAAACGGTTAGTCGCTAAAAGCTCAGGTGTCAAATTCATGTTGTAAGAATAATCCATCTATTATTCATATTCTTTTTTCTTTCTTCTCCTCCTCATCGTTCAGCCTAATCTCGTAGGGATCAACGCAAGCCAACTGACAGTCATTATACGTCCCCATTTCTTAGTTCATCCCATTTAGGACCACTTTAGAGTAAGGGCTTTTTCATGCCCTTTTAGGCATGAAAACAATCTAATAAAGACGTACCACTTGAGGTTTTACATCAGTTAGCGTTAGGCAAAATGGTCACTTGAAAGAAAGGAAAGAACAAAGATCAGAAAGAAAAGAGAGTGCTTAGAATAATGGAAAGAGAAAAAGAGAGAGAGAGGGAGAGAGAGAGAGAGAGAGTGAGTGAGTGAGATAGAAAAGAAGCCAGAATCAGAAGAAATTAGAAAGACAAGGAAAGGCAGAAAAGGAAGGAAAGGAGACGAAAGAAAAAAGAACAAAGAAAGATAGAGAAAAAAAATAAAAGACATGAAGGAGGAAGTAAAGAGAGAAGATAGAAAGAGAGAAAGAAAAGACGGAAAAAAAAAGGAGAGAAAGAAAAACGGAAGAAAGGGGGAGAGATGAAAAAAAGGGAGAAAGGGGGAGAGATGAAAAAAAGGGAGAAAGAAGGGGAGAAGAACGAAAGAAAGAAGAAAAGACTGTGGAAGCAAAGAGAGAAGAAAGACGGAGGAAGTAAAGAGAGAAGAAAAGACGGAAGAAGGGAAGAGAGAAGAAAAGACGCAAGAAGGGAAGAGAGAAGAAAAGACGGAAGAAGGAAAGAGAGAAGAAAAGACGGAAGAAGGAAAGAGAGAAGAAAAGACGGAGGAAGTAAAGAGAGAAGAAAAGACGGAAGAAGGGAAGAGAGAAGAAAAGACGGAAGAAGGAAAGAGAGAAGAAAAGACGGAAGAAGGAAAGAGAGAAGAAAAGACGGAAGAAGGGAAGAGAGAAGAAAAGACGGAAGAAGGAAAGAGAGAAGAAAAGACGGAAGAAGGGAAGAGAGAAGAAAAGACGGAAGAAGGGAAGAGAGAAGAAAGACGGAAGAAGGGAAGAGAGAAGAAAAGACGGAAGAAGTAAAGAGAGAAGAAAAGACGAAAGAAGGGAAGAGAGAAGAAAAGACGGAAGAAGTAAAGAGAGAAGAAAAGACGGAAGAAGGGAAGAGAGAAGAAAAGACGGAAGAAGGAAAGAGAGAAGAAAAGACGGAAGAAGGGAAGAGAGAAGAAAAGACGGAAGAAGGGAAGAGAGAAGAAAAGACGGAAGAAGGAAAGAGAGAAGAAAAGACGGAAGAAGGGAAGAGAGAAGAAAAGACGGAAGAAGGAAAGAGAGAAGAAAAGACGGAAGAAGGGAAGAGAGAAGAAAAGACGGAAGAAGGGAAGAGAGAAGAAAAGACGGAAGAAGTAAAGAGAGAAGAAAAGACGGAAGAAGGGAAGAGAGAAGAAAAGACGGAAGAAGGAAGAGAGAAAGAAAAGACGGAAGAAGGGAAGAGAGAAGAAAAAAGACGGAAGAAGGAAAAGAGAGAAGAAAAGACGGAAGAAGGAAAGAGAGAAGAAAGACGGAAGAAGGGAAGAGAGAAGAAAAGACGGAAGAAGGGAAGAGAAAGAAAAGACGGAAGAAGGGAAGAGAGAAGAAAAGACGGAAGAAGGAAAGAGAGAAGAAAAGACGGAAGAAGGGAAGAGAAGAAAAGACGGAAGAAGGGAAGAGAGAAGGAGAGACGGAAGAAGGGAAGAGAGAAGGAGAGACGGAAGAAGTAAAGAGAGAAGAAAAGACGGAAGAAGGGAAGAGAGAAGAAAGACGGAAGAAGGGAAGAGAGAAGAAAGACGGAAGAAGGGAAGAGAGAAGAAAAGACGGAAGAAGTAAAGAGAGAAGAAAAGACGGAAGAAGGGAAGAGAGAAGAAAAGACGGAAGAAGTAAAGAGAGAAGAAAAGACGGAGGAAGCAAAGAGAGAAGAAAAGACGGAGGAAACAAAGAGAGAAGAAAAGACGGAAGAAAGAAAGAGAGAAAACTGGAAAGTTGAAAGAAGAAAAGATGGAAGAAAGATAAAAAGCTAAGTGGAAAGCGAGAAAATAAGATAAGGAATGATAAAGAAAATCAATTAGATAAAATAATGCTAACAAGTGGAAAAAAGAAAAATAGGCCATTGAAAATGAAGTCACTAATTTTGACGGGAAAAGAAAGAAAGAAAGAAAGAAAGAATGCGCGAATATGTTTTCATTCATATATTATTTTAATCTCCTTCATCATATGAACCCAGAAACGTTAATTTTACAAGCCCCCCCCCCACTGCTCTGATGATTACCAGAAGAAAGATTTCATACATATATATCATTGTGAAAATATAAATCAATAGTCGAACATCTCTTATAAAATTCGTATGTTTCATTGCAGAATTATGTTTTGTCTATTCAAGCTCATTTCACATGATTAGCTAAGAACCCACTCCGTTTCTCGCTCGCTATGAAGTAAAGACCAACCGCTATGATTCCTGTTTCCATCATTTCTTTTTCAAATGTGTACATGATATGAATTTCATCTTTTGTCAACCATTTCACACGTCAAAAATCAGTTTATAATAAGGAAGTTGCATGGAATAGTTTCACATTATGAAAGTTCGACAATTATTTTAAGACATTTTTATGTAGATACGTTCTTTTTATAGATACAAATACTTAAGTAAATGCTCTGTTTATAATAAACAGTATTAACGACATTTACCGGCCTGGATGTCCGAGTAATTTTCATAGAAAATATTCGTCCTCCGACCAGAATGGAACTTGTATCCTACACGAAACCGTCATACAATAAAATCGACCTTGCTAATCGAAATGCTCCTCTGTGGCCAAAACGGTAAAGCACGTCAGGCTATATATATTTTTTTTTATTTTTAATTTTACATATTTTTATCACTTCAAAATTTTTTTATGTTCGAAGAGTACATTTAACGTCTGAAGTGTGTGTGTGTGTGTGTGCGTGTGTGTGTAGCTAGAGGCAACCGGACGTCTAGTCACACTGATGAGCAGTGATACACCGAAACTGTCTATGGATTACAACATATATATATATTTAACGTTGTTATTTTATAGATACAAGTATTTAAGCAAATGCTCTGTTTATGATAAACAGTATTAAATAACATTTACCGGCCTGAATGTCCGAGAAATTTTCATAGAAAATATTCGTTCATAGACAGGATTCGAACCTGCATCCTATACGGAACCGTCATATACGCTGAATATGATTCTATGAAAATTTCTCGGACATTCAGGCCGGTAAATGTTATTTAATACTGTTTATCATAAACAGAGCATTTGCTTAAATACTTGTATCTATAAAATAACAACGTTAAACATAAATAAAAATGTCTTTAATAAATATATATATATATATATATCTGTTTGCAATTTATTATATTTATAGTGGAAAGCTATTGGAGGATTTACAGGTATAGACAAAGTAAATCATACTGCATCACACGGCCTGGTGACTGTCAGTTTCACACTTAATGCGATTTTTAGACTGTCTACAATGTTTCTCTCTATCTTTATCTCTTTCTCCCCCTCTATATTTAGGCAAGTAATATATGTTTGCTACTGATTTTATCAAAATCGTATCAAATATTCAATTGTTGAATAATTTCACAGACGCTGTCAGCAATAATATTACAAAGACTATATCACTATTTGAGAAATATCAGAAAAATGTTAAATGCCAACAAATTTTCGGTTAGTTTTGTCATATTCAATTTATTTTATCTTCGATGTCTTCTTTTTGCTCTCCTAACCTTGGAGCCAAACCTTTTTTTTTTTTTTGTTAAAAATAGGAATCATTTTTATTGCGGTTAATCAAGATATTCACTGGCCTCCAGCTAGAAATCTTTCGAAAGCAAAGTAGTTCTAGCTGGGTGCCGAGTACAAAACAAGAGATAGTATCATTCTTTTTATGAAGGCAAAATATTCTGTGTGTTGGTTTTAGTAATTTATAAGCCTATGTTAGCCTGGCACAAGGCTACAATATTCAAGGGAATTATCTTTTGGTACAACTCATTAACCAACACGCCCTGGGAGATATCCCCTGGTATTTACTCATTTACTAAACAACGGGCACACGTAAAGATCAAACTCTCTACACTAGTTGATGGTGTGTCAGACTCGTTTGTTAATCATGGTACTGGTACCTCAATCGTCCCTTTCTAATTATAGATTAATGTAACCCAACCATGTACTTATATAATTCAATTTAATCGCATACTACCCGTAAAAATGACGAGATTATTTACAAAACGATCGGCACTTCTGCTTAGGATCAATGTAGTATCTGTGTATTATGCCTTCATTCAAAATGTAATTTCCAATATCTAAGCACTTCCACTCATCATATGTACAGTATCTGTGTGCTCGCAGTATAAGAATACAACAATGTAGACATAATAAATAATATAACGAATTGCCGGTCGTTTCCGAGTATATCTGTCTGTACGACGGCTAGCCATTCCATGTTGCAGACGCCTGCTCAGGCATATTTGTGTTTGTTCAACACTCACAGAGCCCACGTGTAGTATATAATGCAACTATGTTGAGCGGGCCGGGAGGGAACACATCACCTGGCGGGTTCAAACAGGGTTACTGCGCGCTCAAACTGTTGATCGCGATATGTCGTATACAATTTCGCGCTAGCACAACCATTGAGGGACAGTTCCGCCTATTCAATTTAACACACAAAGCTTAGGTCGACCAGTGGGGTATGGTTTTCAGAAACATTCCAATGATGCCACACACTGGGATCGCCTCCCTAGGCTAATAAAAACATGGTCACTTTTCTTATACTTCTGGTCTTACCGTAATATAAATCTGAGCTACGGAGTTTTTCAAATATCTCCTTTCCTAAAAGAAATACCTCTCAAGTCAACATGCATGTGTATAAAAATTAAAAAATAAAAAAATAAAAGAAAGCAGTTAAATACAAAACATATTATTTAAAATATATAATACATAAATTAATCTAAAAGAGTAATAATATAAATAATAATTACATTATTGTTACATAGGAATAAAGTGTCGCTGTTGACACTTGAGTTTGAACGTAGTTCACCAGTGAGAAAACACAGACGATCCCATTATTGAATTAAGTAAACCATGTGCCATAGATGAAACGTATAAGTAGGAAGTCGCGTGACGTCTAGATTGATCTCTAATTTTAGTCTATCCTCTATTACAATTTGAATCGTTATTTCTAGTCTATCCTCTATTACTATACGGACCGCTATTCTCTATACTATTCACTATACTATTTCTCTATTCGGATCACTATTCGGTAGTTACTTTTCGAGTGAGTATTATCGAGCTAGTACTATTAGTGCAGGTGATATTCGAAGGCATCTGACACCAGTATTGTTCAACGGCGTTACTAGAGTTGTGTCTGCGATTACAAAGTCTCTACTACAACGAGCATTACGAAAGTGATAACGAGTATTCGTTGACTTCACAAAAGTGGCAACGATTGTTCGTTGACATCACAAAAATGATAAAAGATAAAATCAAGAGCAATAACAACATTTATTCACTATCGTTTATTAGACATTAAATTACATCACTTAGCATCTTCCATAATAACCTTAACTTTCAGTTACCCTGATGTATATTTATGAGCATTCGTAAATTTTAAAATTCTGAAAAATAAAGACAATTTTACTTCTGTTCATAAATATTTGTTCCATTTGCCTTGATAAAGCCCATCAGAGGACGAACCTGGTCAAGATAATTTTTCTTTTTGTCTTTACTCAGAGTCTTTTTATTTTCAGTTATATCTGAATACACACACCCACACACACATATATGTTTATTTATTTATTATGCAGTGTTACATTAGAACATCCACATACCCACTACAAAACTGTACATCTAGTTTCAACGTTAAAAAAACGAGAACTTTTTTGACTTTTCATCAGGTGGGGAATCACGATGCGACTTACTTTTCATTCTTTTACATTTGTATATATATATATATATATATATATATATATATATATATATATATGACATTATATAATTTCTTTGCGGTTTAATTGAATTGTATTTTTAAAATCACCCACGAACAATATTGCATATATATATATGTGGGAGAATAAGAGAGATTTCATGGTGGATCTGTGGAGTTTTATTGCGGATAAGGGATATCTGAAGAAGGAAATTATTATAGTGAAAATACAATTGAAATAATTCCGTGTTTGCAAATGTGATAAAAATTAAAAGAAAGTCTCCTACAGCTCTAATTATTTATCTTTGTGCCACATTGTATATAATACCATATGTAAATAAAAATAATTAATCCTGAATTTTCCATTATATATGGAATGAAATCTTGCACGAGATTTGCGACTCCCGAACAAATAAAATAGTTGGACTCAATCATTGACAAACACAACAGTGAGACTCAGCAACTGTCAAACACAAGAGTGGAATTCGGCCATTGGCAACCAAAACAGTGGGACTCGGTCACTGGCAAGCACAACAGTTTGATTCGGCCACTGGCAAACACAATATTGGGACTCGGCCACTGGTTAACACAATAGTGAGATTTGGCCATTTACAAGCACAATCGTGGGACTCAGCCACTGGCAAGCATAAAAGTGGGACTCAGCCACTGGCAAGCATAAAAGTGGGACTCAGCCACTGGCAAGCATAAAAGTGGGACTCAGCCACTGGCAAGCATAAAAGTGGGACTCAGCCACTGGCAAGCATAAAAGTGGGACTCAGCCACTGGCAAGCATAAAAAGTGGGACTCAGCCACTGGCACTCCAGCCACTGGCAAGCATAAAAGTGGGACTCAGCCACTGGCAAGCATAAAAAGGGGACTCAGCCACTGGCAAGGCATACAAAAGTGGGACTCAGCCAAAAGCATAAAAGTGGGACTCAGCCACTGGCAAGCATAAAAGTGGGACTCAGCCACTAGCAAACTCAATAGTGGGACTCAGCCACTAGCAAACTCAATAGTGGGACTCATCCACTGGCAAACTCAAAAGTGGGATTCGGCCACTGACAAACACAATAGTGATACTTGGCCGCTGACAAGCACAACTGCGGGACTCGACCACTGACAACCACAGTAGTGGGGCTCAGCCACTGACAACCACATTCGTAGGACTCGGCTACTGACAACCACAGTAGTGGGATTCGGCTACTGACAAGTCGAATAGTGGAACTCGACTATTGGCAAATATAAC